TCTCCGAGTTTAATCTCTTGTAGTAGGCACAACATGCAAAAAATAAATTGCCATAATTATTATCAGCATTTTCTTACTAACAGATTTTTCAGAAGCTGTTTCCGTATCAAGCAGATCAACCTTTCTGTTGTCATAGAGACAAAGATCTTTATATAACCATGAGCAAGGTGAGGTTTTTTTTTTTCCTCCTCTCCCTCCTTCCAGTTGCCTGGAACTAATAAGAAAAGGAAAGGAAATCTTTAAAATCAGTTTTTTTCTTTTCTTTCTTTTTTCATTAATTTTATCGAGTGACAATGTGGAAGGCTATTTTTTGTATCACATTTTAGATTTTGAAATACCTGTGTTTTTAATAAAATATGGAAGGGGATGAAAGATACCATTTTCAAAATTTGTAAGCAGTGAGCTTGTCAGTCATCAATAATTATGACCCATGTACCTTTTCTTTTTTTCTTTTTTAAGAGTGAATTTTAGATGGAGGTCTTAGAAGGCAGGGTTACGGAGGACTGGATTGATTAAAACACAAAGTAGCATCTACTGAGGGGCTGGTGATGAATTCTAAGGTGCCCTGCAGCCCTAGCCTCCTTCTCAGAACTGGAAGTGCTCCCTTCTCTGCAGAGCTAAGTCCAATGGACGAGTTAGCACAAGACCACAGCCTTTTTCTCTTGGAGTCTTCTCCCAGAATTCTAGTTCTCTTTTATTTTTTTGTGAATACCTAATAACTTGTTGGAGCCCTGGTGGCACAGTGGTTAAGAGCTATGGCGAGCTACGACTGCCACCCAAAAGGTCAGCAGTTTGAATCCCCCAGCCGCTCCTTGGAAGCCCTATGGGGCAGTTCTACTCTGTCCTATAGGGTTGCTATGAATCAGAATCAACTCAACAGCCACAGGTTTGGTAATAACTTGTTATTCATAGCATTTTTCTATCTTATAATTATCCTTTATCATTTCATTTACTCATCATCAAGAAAAGAGGAGTCCACCCTCAAAAAGTTAAACACGGAATTATCGCATGGTCCAGCAATTCTGCTCTTAGGTATATTCACAAAAGATTTGAAAGCAGGAACACTAATACTTGTACACCACTGCTGATTGCAGCACTATTCACAAGAGCCAAAAAAGTAGCAGCAGCCTAAATGTCCATCAACAGATGAATGGATAATGAAAACATGGTACATATATACAATGGCATATTACTCAGCCATAAACAGAAATGAAGTCCTGACACATACTATAACATGGATGAACCTTGAAAACATAATGCTGAGTGAGATAAGTCAGACATAAAAGGACAAGTATTGTATGATCCCACTTATATGAAATATCTAGCATAGAGACCAAAGTTTATTAGTGGTTTCCAGGAGCAGGTGGGAGGAAAGGGAAAACGGTGACTCATTACTTCGGGAACTCTGAGCTTCTGTTAAAGGTGATGGAAAAAATTGGAAATGGCTAATGGTGATGGACATAATAAATGAACAAATGTCACTGAACTGTGCATATGAAGAATGTTAAAATGGCAAGTGTTTTGTTACATTATATATTTACCACAATTAGATAAAGAGGATTCCAGCATGAACTCGTCCACTTTTCCTGTCCTTTGCCTCAAAATTGAGTTATACCGTCTCCTTCCTTCAAGACTCAGAAGTATCCCTACTCTTTCTAAGACTAAGCCTTCCCCCGTCCAGTCCCCTATGTTCTTAGACAGACACTCTTCTCCCAGCCCCATTGAGATCATACTCCATCAGATATTATTCCTCCCTCATCCCTGGTCTCGTCAATCTGTCCTTCTCCATGGATTCTATCCCCATTGCTTTCTGAAGAAAAAAAAAACAACTTTCCTCACTCCCATTAATTTTCCATCTATCTTTGGGTTCAAGGTTTTAATTTTATCACAGATGCCTTTTTGCAATAAATAGATACAGTGTATGTGGATGGGGGAGGCTGGGAGGGAGAGTTTATGGCATAAGGATGTTTCAACCATACTTCTTGCTCTCCAGAAGATTATGTCCTTCATGGAGAGCAATGCCTTGGCTTTCAAACTTGAGTATGTATCAGAATCACCTAAGGGAACTTGCCCCCCCCCCCGCCCCCCAGTTTTGGATTCAGTAGATTGGGGCTCAGGCCTGAGGATGTATTTCTAGTAATTTCCTAGGTGATGCTCATGCTGCTGGTCTGGGGACAACGCTTTGAGAACTACTGCCTTAAAGTAATAACCCTCCTACTACTTCTTTTGTCACGAGGATGCTGTGTTGAAAAAAGTTATTCTGTTCTGGTCTTCATAAGCTCCACCTCCTTAGAGCTCTCAACTGAAGGATGAGGCCATCTCTCAATTATCTGCTCTTCAGGAAACCCATCCTTGGGAGGTCACAGCCCTTGACTGTGTGAACCCCTCAGTAATTAGACCTAAGGGCTCTAAATGTTTGAGACATGATGTTCCTGGGTGGCGGATGCTAAAATAGGGCCCGTGGAGGGAGGAAGTCAATGATTCTCCAGGATCTCACATGGATGGCAAAGGCTACAGGGCCTGGAGAAACAGCTCCTTTGAGAGCTCGACTAGCCAGCTTCAGAATGCTGTTGTTGTGTGCCATCGAGTAGATTCTGACTCATAGCAACCTTATGGGACGGAGTAGAACTGCCCTACAGGACTTTACGGAGCAGATCGCCAGGTCTTTTCTCCCATGGAGTGGCTGGTGGGTTTGAACTTAACAACCTTTCAGTTAGCAGCCCAGCGCTTTATATTGTGTCCATTCCCCACCTTCACCCTCAAACCTAGTCAGCCCTATAAAATCTTTTTAAGGGGTTCCAGGCTTCTCTAAACTGTGTTGTGGGGCAGTGAGAGAAAGGTTGTTAATATTTTGTTTTTTCTCCCACTTGAGCCTTCTCAAGGGCAGATGTACCTCCTGAGGCCAGCAATGGGGTGGCAGCAGAAATCACTGAGCATGGAAGCTGAATCCTAGAAGGAGCTGGGACTGGGTCTACCCATTCCTGCCCCCTCTCCCCACCAGGGCCAACTTTGGAGAAGCTAGGAATATTTTTTATTAATGAAAGGATAATCTCCTTAGCAGCCCTCGTGGCACAGTGGTTAAGAGCTCGGCTGCTAACCAAAAGGTCGGCAGTTCAAATCCACCAGCTGCTCCTTGGAAACCCTAGGGGGCAATTCTGCTCCGTCCTATAGGGTTGCTATGAGTTGGAATCAACTCGACAGCAACAGGTGTGATTTTTTTGGTTTTTAATCTTCTTAGATAAGCAAGTACAACAAGATAATTAAGAGATGGAGTCCCGTCTTTGCTTCTCAATAGCTGTGGGACCTTGGGCAAATTATTCCATCTCCAGGATGTTGGTTTCTTCCTTTATAATAAAGATGATGGGTGGGGAACGGGGCGAGGGTCCGGGCTTGGTCATCTCTAAAGTCTCTGAATTCTCAATTTCTGCTATGCTGTGTGATAAGTACCAGGCAATTGAGAAAGGCTGTTAATGCCACAGTCATTCAAAAGAGTAAGATGGGAGGCTTGGCAGGGAGGGACAAGGGTTCAGACGTGGAAGGCAAGTTCCACAGATTTGTTGATTGACTGAAACAAATTCTATCGGCCTGCCCTCAGGGAATGGCGCTGACGAGAATTAATGGAAACTAATTAATATAAACCCCTCAACCTTTAAACTGTATCTCTCAACCACAAATATTCCCAGAAGGCCACTAACTCTTCCATGAGGAGAAGCTCGGCCCCTCCGGAGGGAGGAGGACTTCCCTCTGTGAAGTATTGCCCCTGGCAGGCTGCTGAGGGCAGCAGGTCTCTCCTCCCCCAGCACAGAATTCCATCACCTCTAGTGGGTACAACGCTGATGACCTCCACCAGCCTGTGCCTTTCTGATCTTTTCATGGCGCCTTTTTTTTCTTTTCCTTACCTTTCTTTTCTAACAGCTTTATTGTGATGTGATTCACATACCATTAAACTCACCCATTTAAACTGTACAATGCAATAGTTTTAAGTTTGCTCATAGAATTGTGCAACCATCATCACAATCTAATTCTGGAACATTTTCATCACCCCAAAAAGTCAGACACATTAGTAGTCATTCCCCCCCCACCCCCCACAACCTGGTCCTGGCAACTGCTACTGCAAATCTACTTTCTCTCTATGGGTTTGCCTGTTTGGGCCGTTTCATAGAAACAGAATCATTCAATATGTGGTGCCTGCCTCTAAGTCCAAGAAAGGAGACCTGGTGACTCTTGATATACTAGTACTAAAGGCTATTCCTGCCCCATCCCCTCCTCAGCCCATCATTTCAGCACCCCCACCTGCTTCCTGAGGTATACCATTCTCTTAACCAAGCAGTGAGTGTGGAGGTGGTGGGGTGGGGGGAGGACAGGCAGCAGGACACAAGGGCTTTCATTAATTAGCCAGCCAGCTTGAGATGCAAGTACACCTCGGGCAGGGGCGGTGCGGTGACCTGTATGTTCAGTAAGGTGTAGGTGGGCACTGTTAGGGGAGATGGGCTCACCAGCAGTCCCGCTGAGTTCCCAGGGTACCTGAGGGGCCTGAGCCCCTATTCCTAGAGGGCCACAGGGTGCCAGAACCCACAGTAACCTTCGCTGACCTGGCGTAGACTTCTTGGGGTAGAAACAGCTGCTAATTTAGGGGCATCACACCCATGTCCCCTTCCAGTAGTGGCAGACAGCGAGGCTTTCTTCTGGGATATCTGGGTAGTTCCACGCCCCCTGCCTCAGCCCCAACGGGAGGGGGGTGCGAGGGAGAAGGAGCGGGCCTGGGGGTGCCAAGGGCAGGATGGCGCGTCCGCATGGGGGGCTTAAGCCCAAGGCGCGGCACCGGCTGGCAAAGATGACCCCAGGCTTTGGTTCTCATCCCCCTAGAAGGTGGTCAAGTTTGAGAGGGCGCAGCGTCTTTCTCCAAGCTTCCAAACAAAGGGGCCACAAGAGTAGGGAGGGAAGGTGGCCCGGAGTAGGGAAGGAAGGTCCCGAGGTGGGGCGAGGGCGCCGGTACTCACAGTCGGGAGAGGCCGGCCCGCGGGCCGGGGCAGCGCAGGGCGCCCTCGGGAGGGCAGCTGCAGGGCTCGGGGCAGAGCGCGCCGCGCAGCGCCC